AGTGGACCCCCTTGATTTTCATGCACACCTGCTCCTTGGTGGCCAGGCTGGCAGCTCTCCTGCCCTAGCCGGCCACTTTCCTGTGCCTAGTGCGGAGATCGTGGACAAGGTCCACAATGTCCGCACTAGCCCAGGCGGGTGCCCACCTCTTGCGGTCCCAGGCAAGCTCCCGGGAGTCTCCAGCCTGGTCCCGGGAAGAGGAGGAGGGCTGGGGGCATCGGGTGGGTTGTTCGATCCGTGCCAGGTGCAGGGTTTGCTGGTTGGGTGCTGGCAGGCTTGCACCTGGCACGGGCACCGTAGCCAGCCCGTGTCCCTTTAAGGGCTCCGGGGCAGGGAGAGGGGGCAGACGAGTTTCCCTGGTGGTGCCCAGAGTGGCCACCAGGGAAAGCTGGGGAGGGCTAGCCTCCCACTAGTTCGAATTAAGTGGCCACACAGCCCTTAATTCGAACTGCTTAATTCGAACTAGGTATTAGTCCTCGTAGAATGAGGTTTACCTAGTTCGAATTAAGCACTCCGCTAGTTCGAATTAAGTTCGAACTAGCGGTTTGCCTGTGTAACGCCTATCAAAGTTAAATTCGAACTAACGTCTGTTAGTTCGAATTAACTTTGTAGTGTAGACATACCCATTTAGAGTAACAATTTCAGAATGTAGTTTGTTTCTACCTATATATTATCCTCCAAGCAGAATTTGTGCTAGCCTAATTTTAAAAAAAATAGTTGAAATGCATAATTACTTTCAACAACGGACTATTCTATGTACATCCTGTGTTATTTTGCTTATCATATATAAGTCAATTCTTTCCATTTTTTCAGCAGGTACAGAATGCATCTGGGTTTCTACATGAAGGGTAGGCAAGTGGTCCATCTGAATCACCTCTCTCTGGGCCTAGTAACAAAAAGCCACATTTCTGAGAATGCGTTTGGATAACCTAGTAACAAAACATCCTCTCATTCCAAGCTGAAAGAGGCTGGTGCTCTGAAAGTCCACTCTCATAGCAGGGGAATGAAGCAGCAGGAAAGGCTCTTGAGACTTACAGATATGTGACTGGGTCTCTCTTCCTCCTGCTCATCTAAGTCCTGGTCTCCACTATTGGGTGAATCTATTTAGGGGATGTAGTGAAGGGATCTAAATCGAATGCTGAACATGCTCCCCAAGACTCTGGTACTTCACCAGAACAAGACATGTAAGGTAAATGGATGGAAGAGTTTCTCCCATAGACTTAACATGATATAGATACTCACAGTATCTTGACTCCAGCTATGTTAGTCATGTAGCTAGAGTTAACTCAGATTGACTTTAGCCCATAGTGTAGACTTCCCTTCAGACACTGTTTCCTTTATGGTATTTTCTACTTCATTCTTTTCTGATTTGCTTAAGTTTTTCATTAATTCAATGATGGGCACAAAAAAAGCCTTTGTTCAAAGCTACACGGAACTATGGGCTTTTTGGAATATGAACCTGAATGTATGTTTGATAATGGCCTCGGTCTTTAACAACAGCTGGTCCCAACATCCACAGATTTTGAGGAGTTCAATATGAGGGTCTGTCTGTTGTAGGTTGTTTCTATCTGAAGGGAAGCAATAAGCAAGATTTCCTTTTAATTTGAAAAAGAAAGGCTGGACATGAACTCCTGCTAAGAAAGAAATGCTTCTGTTTCCTTTGAGCATTGAGTTTTTCCCTTCATTAAGGAAACTCTTCACTGACTACAAGTTACAAATTTTGTCTAACGGAACACTTTTAGGTCTCCATCCTATGGATAGTTTTTTACCTGGTTGAGAACAGGTTTGTACTTGAGCCCGGGTTTGTTCAGGATCATTTCCAGCTGTCTCATGTTGAAGTTGGAAACCCCGATCGACTTCACCAAGCCTGCGTCTTTACATGCCTCCATGGCCTTAGAAAAACAATGATGGCCAGTTCCATTATCACAAATGGCAGTATAATTTCCACAACACTTGAAAAAAATTATGCTCAAAATGATTCCACCAAAATGTTATTACATATGGGAGGGGAAACTTTGATTTGTTCTAGAACAAAACTCTGAATTAGAAACAGTCATTTTTCAACTGCTCAGTTAGGCATCGGTTCTCTGTTCAGTCCCCTGTGCAATCAATTCATCTTTTCCCACAAAAGGAAGCAGATAATATGGCCAGTGTCCCAGTCACTTTCTCTCTTATTTGTCCCTTGCATATACAGAACCCCAAAACCATAGTGATACCCAATCTCTGCTAGTGAGCAATATAGAAATAAGGATACCACAAAAGTTTGGGAACCAGTTTAAGAGCTTAAGAGTTTTATAGCAGAAAAACTGAGAATCTAAAGAGGAATACATAAGAAATACTGAAAGAAATGGACAGGAGCAGTGGTCACCATTAAAATGTCGGTTTTTACTGACAGTGGCAATGCTGTGGTATCTGAGATACACGTATTTCCCTGTCCTGGTAATAGACAATGACTGCAGAGATTCAGATCAGAAGCAGTGCTATGATAACAATGATACTAAAGCCAAATATTTACAATGAATATAAACAACTTACTAGAGTCCACTGAAGGGAGGGCACATTACAGGCAAAGTTTTAACTTTTTTCCTTTTGAATGAGGGAGTTAAGAAAATGCAGTATAACTGATTTAGATGTTGTTAAGGAAATCTGTTGCTGAATCACAAGAAGGAGCATTGCTGACTGTTGCTGTTGGGCTAACTGGCACAAAAAGCATCCAGAACTTATTTTTGTCACTTAGCTGGAAACGATGATGCTCCATACACACAAGTAGCAGGTCTGTTAAGTGTGAAGGTGTCATTTGTATATATAGTTACTTGTTGGTGTGAATCTGTGCATTATCGATAGGCTGTTCAACAACATATTCTACTAAATACCTCAGCATTTCATCTACTTAACAATTACAGTCTCCTTAGCCATCTAAAAAGGTCACTTATCTAAAAAGCAGACAGAATTGTGAACACTTGCCAGGTAACAATTACCTGGCTGACTAAGGAAACTGGATGTGATATTGATTAATAGCATGTTGTTCATATCACTCACCTCCCAAGTTTGACACAGATCTACAACATCAAAAATGACTTTTCCGTTTTCATCCTTTGGGATTGGATCTGTCCCAGGCTTAAAAACAAAACAAAAAAAAAATCCCTTTTGTTTGCGATGTTTTTTACACAAATGGATTGTAATTATTTTGTGGAAGCAAGGAAGGACTTGTAACCAGGAGGATCTAGGAAGGGAAGGTGTTGAATTCTATAGCTGGATAAATGTAATAGAATGGTTTTAGCTAAACCACTTGGCTTTCCACAAACTAAACAATCATGGAAGAGAGAGTGAAAGCTGTATCATTGTCTAGTCACCAAGAATCTTCTTACCAGTAACACCAAAAAGGTATGGGATCTAAACATCCTATTAACTTTCTCCTGTTTAAATCCCTAAGGGAATACTCCAGTAGCTCCAGAACAAGACTTAAGTCACCCACATTAAAACAGTAACAGAAAATATGGAAATGGAAGAAGAGTTAAATACTTTTTTTTCCAGTTTTCACTGAACAGGCTAGTATGACTGGATATCTAACCTAATGAATACCAGTGAAAAGGAGGTGGAATATGATGCTAAAACAGGGAAAGAACAAATCTATATTTACTTAAACAAGTCAGATGTCTTCAAGTTACCAAGTCCTAGGATACTCAAGGGGTTGACTAAGCGATATCTCTGCCAGTGGCGATTATGTTCTAGAAGTCATGGAAGTCATGGGAGAAATTAAAAAAGACTGGAAAAGGGAAATATAGTGCCAATCTCTACAAAGTAAAATAAGGGCAACCCAGGGAACTTCCTAAATATCATGGCAAATAAGCACTGGACTAGGAAGTTGTGGAATCTCCCTTGCTGGAGATTTAAGTTGCAGAGGGGTAGCCGTGTTAGTCTGTAACTGGAAAAACAACACATAGCCTCTAAGGTGCTGCAGAACTAACAAAAGTGTAGCTGGTATCATGAGCTTTTGTGGACACAACCCACTTCTTCAGATGAACAGATTTAAGGACAGTTTAGAAAAACATCTGCCAATGATGTGCTATATAATACTTAGTCCTGCCATGAGTGCAGGGGACTTGCCTACATGACCTCGAGGTCCCTTCCAGTTCTATGTTTCTACCTTGACCTGAAGTTTCCACTAGAACAGAGAAGCAGCACTGCAAATTGTCAAACTGAGCTAGGGAATTTACACATCACTTTTGAGTAAAAATCCTATGTATGACAAAAATATACAGTTTACGTTCTAATTCATGAACAAATGTCACCCTACATGACTAGAAATAATTTTGTGTTAATAACAGGATAGGTATTAATACTGGGAAATGTATTAACTCAGCTAAGAACTACTTTCACATGAAATTCTGTTTATATGAAGTGAAAACAAAGCATGCATGTCCACAGTGATTAGTGCCCAGAGATATTACAGATAAAACATAAGTGGCATTTTCTTTGACCAAGATAAAGAAGCTTGAAGAAATGACCTTTTTGTTTCAGTTTGCATGAGGTGAAGAAGTTATAGTCTGTTATTAAAACACACACAAGATCACAGTAACCCAAGATTAGATGTATAGGTTACTGGTGAATTTCCAGAGTAACTAAAGATAGTCTTTGATAATTAAATGTATACTTGAATTTAGAGAGTTTGAGATACTTTGTAAATTTGCCAGTACACACAGACACACTCTATCTCTGTAGCATATTGTGGACCCAGGTAGCATTTGATATTTTAATACCAAGGAATAAAAGTAGAAACTACATATTTAGTATATTTTGATTATCAATGAGATATAACATGGGTTTTTCCAAAGAAATTTTGAATGAAAAAGTGTGCCTCATGCACTAATTTCTTTTTTGTCTACTGCCTTCCACTTAAACACCCATCATAGGCTGTTTCTGTAGGTTAGTTATGCAACTAGATTGGGGTGGGCAATAACAGGGTGGCAGTTTTTCAGCGTTAGCCCCTGCTGGTCCGTTACCAATATATTTACCTGCACAGCCACAGGTACTGGTGATCTCAACTCCAGTTGGCTGTGGATTGCTGTTCCCAAACAATGGGAACATTGGGAAGCAGTGTGGACTAGGACACTACTGTAAATTAGCATATATAACCCATGCACGTGTATTATCCACACCCATGCATAACCCGCGGTTTTTCTTGATTGCGTGAAAAAAGTCTTAGCTAACTCGTGCACGTGTATACCCACGGGAGATGAACTGTGGATACTGTTAATGAATAGCATCTGTAATGAATGAGTCAGGAGTCAGGCTGGCCGGGGGTTCAAGTCCTGCTCTGCCGTGAACCTGCTGTGTATGTGCCCAGCTGTATGATGGGGGTAAGAGCCCTGGCCACCAGGGGCTGTGAGGAGAAATGGCACAAGGCTGTGTCAGAGCCAGCTGGAGGGCAGGGAGCTCCAGGCCGTGGTTGCCACGGGGAACTGGAGTGGGGCAACAGATGCGCTGGGCTCTTAATGGGCTGGGAACACCCCACTGTGACCATGCACCCAGCTCCTGCTCACCCCGGCTAGGCTGGTACAAAACCCCCCCAGCCAGAAGCGGCCCCACTGGATTTTCAGGCTCATTTCCTTACATGGCTATGGATGGAAGGAGTCGGCTCCCGGTCTCACAGCGAGGGACCCCTGTCCTGTCTTCCCATAATTTCAGTAAAAAAAACGTGTATAACATGTGGACGAGTATAGCCTGCT